ACTTTTTCTGCAAGCCATAATATTTTTAATTGAAAAACACTTTTTCATTTTTTTTGGAGAGGTTTTTGCTATAGGGTGCATGCGCATGCCAGAAAGACAGAGAGAGAGAGAGAGAGACAGAGAGATAGAAAGCAAGAAATCACCCCCCAAGGGGGGGGTGCACAGCCGCACCCTTCTCTTCCATTCTCCTCTCGAGATCTTGGGCACGCACACATGCGCCCAGCATGAGTTTAAGCCACCGGGTCCAGTACTCAAACCGTGGTCGTCTACATGGGAGTTCAATGACATAGCCATTACACTAATTGCTGGTCCCGAAAAATACTTTTTCTAAGGTGCTAATGTAATTACTATGTTTAGTACAAAATCTTCTAAGTGGAGGATATTGTAAGTTTATTTTATTTTTATTGTTTTGGCTTTGAAATGTGTAAATACTTTAACTCAAACATACTCACAGATAGATACTTTCTCTTTAGACTTCCAGAACAAACCTATTTATAAACAAAATCTATCAATTAAGTCATCACAATTATTTCCTTTTTTTTTTTCCAGAGGGTATTAAGTCATCACAATTATTTCCTTTTTTTTTTGCCAGAGGGTACATGAGCTCACGAGAGAGAGAGAGAGAGAGAGAGAGAGAAAGAGAGAGAAAGCAACTCCTAATGGGATGCAGTCAAGCTATGATCCCTTCTCTATTTCTCCATGGGATTTTTAGGCATGTATTCTTACCTGCCCACCCAGTTTTTCAAGTTTCCAGGGTTGGGATTCAAACTTCAGTTAGGCATGTGGAATCTGGATCTATTAACCACTAGGCAGTGAAACTGGCCCATCATAATTCTTTTATGGCTGCAAAATTTCATTGCTTTCAACCCACAACAAGAGCTTCATTAAAAGTAATTTCCTACATATGGTAACATTTCCACATTAATTTTATGATCAAATCTTGTTTACTATTTGAGCTTTCATCAATAGAGAGTAAAAGTTAATGTCTTCTTGATGCAAATTTTAAAAAATAATAGCTTAACTTCAGGTTTCAGAAATTGAAGATTTTTGGTGCTCCATTTGTTGAATAATTGGATTAAGAATTTCCAGTTGATTCTTAACACGACGGAACCCAAATTTAGAAAATTTGTTAGAAAAATACCCCAATATCGTTGTAGCTAACTCACAAAGTAGTCTTTCAAAACATAATTCTTCCTTTGTTTTTTATTATTTTTTTGTTCTTGTAAAAATCATATGATAGAAAATCCACTGTTATAAAATATACACTTGGTGATATGCACAGTTTGTACAACCATCACCCTTTGGTTGTACCCATTAAGCGGTTACTCTCCATTCTGCCCTCCCACTGACCTCTGGCAATTTCTATATCCATTGCTTTACCTACTATCTGCTTTGGATAGTTCACATAAATGGAATCACATGATGAACGACTTATTTGTGTTTGGCTTCTTTCTTTTAGCCCAATATTTTTGAGGTCCTCCCACAAGTCTCAGTACTTCAGTTCTTTTTAGAGCTGAATAATCTTCCACTGTATGGATATGCCATATTTTGTTTGGTGATTTATATGATGATGAGGTATGTCTGCATTTTTGCTATCATGAATAGTAGTGTAATGAGTATTTGTGTGCAAGTATTTTTTTTAAATAACTGTTTTCAATTCTTATGTATCTGGGGGTAGAATTGCTGAATCATATGTTAACTGTATGTTTAGTTTTTTGCAGAACCACCAAACTATTTTCCATAGCAATCGCACCATTTTACATTCCCATTGGCAATGTTTGCATTTCTCCACAATAATAAGTCCATAACTAACATCAAGCTTAAAGTTTTTCCTCTATAAGCTGGGACAAGACAAGTTTGCCTATGTTCTTCATTCCTGTTCAACATAGTACTGGAAGTCCTAGTCAATGCAATCAGGCAGGAGAGGGAAATATAACGCATTCAAATAAGAAAAGAAGAAGTGAAATTATATCTATTTGTGGATGACATGATCATATACATAGAAAATCCAAAGGAATCCACAAAAATCTCCTAGAAGTGATAAGTAAATAAAGTGGCAAGATAAAAAAGTCTATAGCATTTTTATATAGCAACAATGAATAGATCAAGATAGAATTGAAGAAATCTATTTATACTAGCCATAAAATGAATAAAATACCTAGGAATAAACCTAACTAAAGAAGTGAAAGTACTCTTCAAGGAAAGTTATGAAAAACTGAAAAAAGAAATTGAAATTGATGTGTAAAAGTGGAAAGACATCCTATGTTCCTGGATTAGAAGAATTAATATAATCAAAATTCAATTCTATCCAAATTAATTTACAAATTCAATGCAATTTTGACAAAAATTTTCAGAAACATTGTTCCCAGAAATAGAAAAAACAATGAAAAGATTTTCCTGGAGTCATAAGAGGTCCCATTTCATCGAAATAATACTGTGCCAAAAGAATAAAGTAGGAGGCATCTCACTACCTGACCTTAAAGTGTATTTCAAAGCTGTGATAATCAAAACAGCATGGGACTGACACAAAAACATGCACACAGTCCAATGGAATAGAATAGAAAATCTAGAAATAAACTTTAAAACATACAGGCAACTGATCTTTGACAAAAGACAGAAGATAATCCATTGGGGGGAAAAGTCTCTTCAACAAATGGTGCTGAAAGAACTGGATGTCCACCTGTGGAAAATGAAACTAGACCTCCTTCTCTCTCACCATTAACAAAAACAACTCGAGATGGATCAAAAATCTAAATATAAAACCTCAAACCATAAAACTACTAGTGGAAAATGAGAAACTCTTGGAGGCATTGGAGCAGGCAAAGATTCCTTAAATAAGACCCCTAAAGCACAAGCGACAATTCTCAAAAGAGTCAAGTGGGACTACATCAGGTTAAAAAGCTTCTGCACAGCAAAGGAAACAAAATATACTCATTTACAAAATTTGGCTGATGTTGGATGACAAAGAAAGAATGTACTAAAATATTTTAGAAAATTCAATAATTTCATCACAGAAAATTTGCAGTTTAGATACTATAATAAGATATATGCACAAATTAGTAGAATACTGCAGTTTGGATAAGATTTTGCATTATTTGAGCACCAGAGCAAATTATGGGCACATTGTTCTATCATTTTCAGATCTCGTAGGTTTTGTTTTATAGGTTTCTTTGGGCAAAAAGAGTCTTTTTACTTCAACCGCATACTCTACCACATAAATGTGCACGCTTACTATCATCACAAAATGATGTTATCTTCAACTTTGAGCATTTTTACTCAGATTACAGTAGTATATTCGATAATGTCAAACATTACTCCCTGAATAGAATGACCTTCCAGAAACTTTACTCTGCTTCCAAATAGTAAATTAAAAATAGAACCATTACTGGAGTAATGATTTTCTAATACTAGCAGCTGATGTCATAGGTGTAACACAAGCATCACTTGAAAATAGTTGAAATACAATTTTTCTGGTAATGGTGCTATCTCTTCATATAGTCACAATAAAATTTGAAATTGAAAATGAGTAAATTTAATTAGAAGAGCAATTAGTTGATTTAAGTGAAAAGTCATGCTCCACAGAGTGATATGTAAATGCATGTCTGCTACTGCATATATTAGTTACTTTGGGATAGTGTCTTCTCCTTTTCCTCTTTATTTTTTTCTTCTTCTTCTTTCTTAATTTGCTAGAGGGCATTGTACACTCACTACAGAGAGACAAGGCGAGAGAGGGAAAGCGAGAAAGGACTCCCCCATTAGGAATGGTCATCCCACATGGCCAGCCACGCATTTCGAATCCTGGACCCAGCAGGATTTTTTCCTTTCTCCCCCTTTTTCCCTCCTTTTGAGATTTTGGGCACACAAATGCACCTGGCATGTGTCTCAAGCCTCTGGGCCCTGAACTTAAACCATACAGTTAGCCATGTGGAATCTAGCAGCCTTTACCACATGACAGGCTGGCCCCGGACACAGTTTTCATCAAGTAATTACAAGTTTTTGACATAGACACTGTTGCTTCTTGCAGATTTGTATTTGTTGTTCTCATCAGTAATGTCACTAAATGTGTCTTACTCCATATTCTGTTGCTATTACAGAATACCAAAGATTGAGTAATTTGTAAAGAATTACATTACAAATAATTGTTTGTGAGTTTCTGTATCACTGAGATTCTGGAGGCTGAGAAGTCCCAGAAGAAGGAACTGCATCTGTGGTGGGCCTTCTCACTGCATCATAATATGATGAAAGATGAGAAAAGTATGTGTGAGACAGAGAGGAAAAGGAGGTCAAACTCCCACTCTAAGCACTCCTACAGTAACTAACTCACTTCTGTGACAACGTTCATTTATTTATGAGGGCTCTTAAAGTTCCCACCTCTTAATATTGCTACAATGGCAGAGGGCACCAGAGACACATAGACAGAAAGAGAAATGGAGAAAGCATCCCCCAATGGGATATAGGTACTATGAAATCCTTTCTCTTCCATTTTACCATTCCTTTGGGATTTGGGGCACAGACACATATGTACCCAGTGTGCTTTTAAAGCTGCTGGGTTTAGGATTTGAAATGCATGGCTGGTCATGTGGGATCTAGCTCCCTAAAACACCAGGTCATGGGCTGTCCCTTGGAGGGAACATTTAACCATAGCAACATCCTTTCCCCTACCATAAATAAATTTCAAAAAATGTTATGAGCAAGTTATGTGTGTACCATCAACTTGTGAAACAAAGTTTGAAACAGATCAAAATCTTGAAATTTAGTTCAGAAATTATAGATGCCAATTTTCAGTTATTTCTGCCAACAGCATTTATTGCAAAATAAAAAGAAAACTCCAAAATATAAAATAAGTACTCATGGTAGAGTGACACCATTTAACAAGTGGCAAAACTGCTGTAGCCAACTCCTCTATATGCTCTGTCACATGAGAGTGCAGCTTCCATTTCCTGTATATATTTACATATGATAACTTGTAATTTTACAGCTTACAATTTTCTGTGTTTTCCAGTGACCTAGCTGAATGGAGGAATGGCTGTTTCATGCATTTTCCATGCTATGAACTGGGTCATGACATAACTGGTGAGTGTGGCAACTGGATGGTAGAGATAGCAGCTCTGAATAATTTTATTATCTCCACTTAAGTTCAGGAGTTAACCATCTTCAATTGCTAGCATCTGAGCACATTCCATCCTAATCACTGAGTGCCTGGGTAATGGCCTTCAAAGGAAGATACAAGTTAAATTATGTCTGGGAAGGGCCAGAAAACACCACCGCCAGATGGGTCAGGGAAAGTCATTTTTCTGAGTTTACTATACATCTAGGTCAGAAATCTGTTCACATACTACCAGATGGGGCTAAAGGAGGAACTAATACTGAAGAGAAGTCTATCAAATCCATTTTGCCTTATTTTAACATTAATAATAATAATACCTCATAAAGAAATGGAGAAATCTATATTGAATGGAACGTTGGAACAACAGGCACACACCAGAACTGTCTTGGGCAAGTTGAAGAAATAAACCCTCTTTGTATCAGTACAGTAACTTTTGGGTTAATTTTTTTTTTTTTCTGAGAGGAAATATGTACTACCATGCACATTTAGCAGACTATTAACCATAGCATCATCCCTTCCTCTACCATGAATAAACTTTAAAAAAAAGTTCAAAAATGGAGATGATTTTTTTTTGTTTTTAGAGTGAGAGAGAGGAAAATAAGAAATCACCCCCCCCCCCAGGAAGATGGCATGCTACAACCTCTTCTCCACTCTCCTGTTGGAATTTTAGGCACACATGCACATGCATCCATCTTTTTCAAGCCACTGGGTCTGGGAATCAAACCACAGAGTCAACCATGTAAGATCTGGCCACCTAAACCACTACGCCACTGACTGGCCCAATGCCATATATATTGCTTCAAGTCATTCATTTCTTCATTAACTCATGTATTCAGTAAGACCCCACTTAACACAGTATCCATGGCCCTCAATGTTGTCTTCTATTTCTGAGAGAGGGTTAGAGAAACCACTCCCCAACTCTTCCAAATTCTGACCATACCTACTATGGCCATTTTTAATTTCCCATTTTGTTTTGGTTTCCTGAAGCAAATAACATAGGAAATGTTACAGATATTTGAGACAACAAACATACACATGAATCACATAATACAAACAACAGTGAACAAAAGGCAGCATTTGAAAGAAATTGAGTCTTGCAATCTAACAATACCGGAAGATGAATAAAGGAGGGAGGATCTTGCAATGGAGTCTATTGGGCAGTGAATCAACAGAATGATTGACCAAGATATAACACGGATTGGAAAATGCACCCCAATGACTACTAGATAATTAAGATATCTTTTTAAAAAATGTATTTTATTCAGCTTTATTTATTTATGTACTTTATTTGACCAGAGAGGGACAGTGAGAGAGAGGAAAGTGAGAAAGCAAGCCACCAGGTCCAGGACTTGAACCGTGGTCAGCCATGTGGGAGTCCAGCGTCCTTAACCACCATGCCACTGCCAGCCCTGATAATTAAGATATCTTGACTATATATAGAAAATTATGAAGTCCACAGCAAGATTGAGTAACTTTTTAAGGGGTGAGCAGAGACAGTTTAGCAAAGACAGTTGCATGTTCTTGAGTTAGCAACAGAACCATGACAGACAGACAAACGATGGAATATTCTATACAGAAAGTAGTGAATGCAAAAGCAAAATAATGTGAAAACTTTGATAATCCAGTTAAAAAGGCACAAACTGAAAATTTACAGAACTGTAACGTTATGTACACTGAAGGACAAGACTAGAGGAGAATGTGGGAAAATGGAACTTGTTTGGTTTCAGGATTGTGAAACTTTTGTTTTTTGTTATTATTAATAGAACATAATTTGTAGTAAAAGCCTGAAGAAAATACGTGGATTGAATTAAATTCTTAAAAAGAGTAAGTTTTTAATTGGCATTTTCTTTTTCTTGGTTGCTGTGCTCATCATGAATAACCACACTGACACAGTTCTAATGTGATTATCATAATTGAGGTTACCACATCCCGCAGCAAATTATTGCCATTCTGAATAGAAATGGGGGTTTTCTCCAAATGTGGAATTGTGAGTTTTTATTAATTATCTACTTTCTTATGATTTCTTCACATTCATCCTATTGAGTGCCTTGAGAGTTTTTATCAATGAAAAGCTTAATTTCAGTTTAACCAAGCAGAGTGCTTGAATGTGTACAGCTGATAAGTGCTGTGTAAGAATAGATGGAAACTGGCAGGAGCTGTTGCTATTTTAAAAGCAAGAGTTAATTTTTTCCCCCATTAAAGAGGAGCTTCTCTTGTCGTGCTGTGCAGTATTGGGCCCAAGTCATTGTGTCTCCTGCTTTCCATTCTCTTCTTGGCTCTGCAGGGCAGAAGGAATGAAAAGATCCCTTCTTGAGAAGCCAGTCATGGTGTGAGGGAGGAGGGGAGCAAAAGTCTCACTAGAACATTTAAACATTGAAATTGAATTGGCCTGGATAATTTTAATCACCTTTAATCTTTCTTATACAATGAGTGTTTATTTTCTTGTCTTCATTGGTTGCAAGTAGGACAGCACTGTCTTTTTCAGCTGAGAGCTGCAATCTGGTTTGAAGAGTGAATGAGGAGCTACATTTTCTGGAGTTAACCTTGGATCATCTCTTTGACATACTATCTGCAGCAAGCTGCTTCTCCTTTTGAGGGCTCAGTTTCCTTTGTGGAAAATGGGATCATACTGGTTTGACCTACCCCATGATGGGCAGGTTCAAATAAGATGAGGCCTATGAATGGCCTTCTTAAGGAAAAAGCACTAGATATATTCGAAGTGGTTTTCATATTTATCAAAAAGCTAGTTCACAAACTGAGGTATAAAATTGACTCATTTACTTGTGATGGTAGTTTTGTACAGTGATTTATTTCATGACTAAATTTAATTATTAGTTGTCTTCAAAGTAAAAGTATAGTATAAAATTTTCTACTATCATGATCAAGTTGTAATTGCTCTTTATTCTGTTTTTATTATTGGAATCCAGTTAGTATAGAAATGTATGACAAAAGGGACCAGACAGTGGCCCAGTGGCAATGCAACACTATATGGGGCTATACCAGCACAGGAAGGTCTGAGCTTTGTGTCTCTTGAAGGCCTCTATGTGCAGGCTGGTACATGTGCCTTTGATCTGAGATGGCTGTGATTTTGGGTGAATTATGATATGAGGTGTTTATTGGGGGTGCTTCTATCTCTTTTCCTCCCTCATGGAAGAGATAAATATTGGTTTTCAGAAAAGTCATGACAGATTTTTTTTGTTTTGCAAAGGTCATTTAATTATATAAAGAACAAAGATCAATGACATATCGCTCATTTTGTTCAGTATCTTTTGCCATCTTTCAGTGAGTTTCCTAATTCCTTGTTGATAGAAAGACCTGTCTTTATTGGTGGAAAACTGAACAGGGTACTGATTTGCAGCCTTATCTGAATTGAATATTATAGCTTGTAAGGAGTTTTGAAGATAGCAAAACAAGTGGAAGTCTGATGGCACAAGGTAAGGCGAGTGTGGTGGGTGTGGCAACACGTTCCATCCAAGCTCCGATCATTTTTGATGGGTGATCAAACTTTTATGTGGTCTCTCATTATTGTGCTAGAACACAACTCCTTTGTGATTAATGAGCTCTGGATGTTTCTGGATTATGGATCCATTCAAACTGTCCAATTGCTAACAGTACACATTCAAATTGATTGGTTTTTTGGAGGAGCTTGAAAAACATGACACTTTTAAAATCTCACCATACTGAGACATAACTTTCCTCTGATGAATGTTTACTTTTGATGTTTGAGGCAAATCATCATGTAGGGACCACGACTGTTTATGTACCACAGTATTGTAAACAATCCACTTTTCATCACCAGTTATCTGTCGCTTCTAAAAAGGATCAGTTTCCTCATGTTTAATGAGCATATCACAGATGTTCATATGTGCCATCAAGTGAACTTCTTTGATTTCATGAAGGGCCAAATACTGAGCATGTTTATGTATCCCAGCTTCTTCAGGTGGTTGTGAATGTTCAGTGATGGATGTTCAAAGTTTCTGCAATCTCTTGTGCCATGTAAGGGTGGGTTTGACTCCATCCATGTCTTTATTTTGTCAGGGACCTCCTTGACTGAGGAGCATTGCTGAGGTCAAAATCACCAACACAGAATTTTGTGAACCATCATCGGCACTGACATTCTTGTAGAGCATTCTCACTGTAAAGTTTTCACAACTTTTCACAAGCTCGAAGTGTGTTCTTCCCTTTTTGAAAGTAAAACAGTAAAATATGATTAAAATGCAGTTTGGTATCTTCCATATTCAACTTGTAAACTGAAACAAATTGCTTATTTTTTATTTTTTTACTTATTCATTTATTTATTATTTTTAGAACAAAGCTAAAATTGTCAGGTATCAAATGATATAGCAATAACATGGATGTGAATGAGTCTAATAATTCAAAAAATGAACTATCATCATCTGTTCCAAAAATGCATGATTTTTCTAACAACCCAATAAATAAAAACTTTCAAAAGTATTACAAAAGATGCATGTGATGATTTAAATAACAAACATTTAGATGCCAGGAGGGTATGCCTAATGACAGAAATAGGTGCTATGGTACTTATTATACATCAAACATTGTAACAAGTGCTTAATATGAGATGTGCTCATTTAATGTCCAGAATGGTTCCATGGGGCAGGTTTAATTTTGATTTATTTTATATATGAATAAACTAAGTTCCAGAGAGGTTAAGTTGGTTCTTTTTTTATTTCATTTATTCATTCACTTATTATATTTTTTAATTTGATGAGAGAGAGAGAGAGAGATAGGGAAAGTGAGAAAGCAAGCCTCCAGGTCTGAGACTCAAACCACGGTTGGCTATGTGGGAGTGTCCAACGTCTTAACTACCTCGCCACCTGTTGGTCCCCAAGAGAGGTTAAATTGGTTAACAAACACCAACTGTCTTACTTATAAAACTCATTATAGAGACAGTATTGTTTAGTTTAAATCTTATCTCCACTACTAATTAGTTCAGTGACTTTGT